TTAATAATGCTTAGCAATTCTATCACATTTGTAGCATTTAAACACTCTGAATATTTATCTTTTTTTTAATCTCTGTATATAAGATAAGATGCAAATTGTAAGGATTCATTTGATAAATGTAATAGGGACTATAGGGTAAAATGGTTCACCAAAACTTTCCAGGGTTCCTCAGTAAACTCTGAACAAGAAATCAGAAGACCTTCATCCTAATAACTCCAGTGTCTTGCCAATAAGTCTCTGGGAAATCACTTAGTTTCTCTGAATACTTCATCCTCCTAAATAATGGATTCGCATTTTCTAGAAAGCATAAAGTACTGTACAAGTGTAAATTGGAAGAATTGTGTTGGTCCACACATAAAATACACTAACACTAATAATAGCTGATGAGCTTTAAAAGAATCGCAAAAAACTCTCATAATGTGTTACGAAAGTTTACAAATTTGTATTGGGCTGCATTCAAAGCCATCCTGGGTCACGTGCAGTCCGTAGGTTGGACAAGTTTGCTCTAGACTGACTGTCCCTGGTGCTTCCATTCCCTGCATAATTACTGTCGTTTAACTTTGGGTAATTTATGTACATTTGTCCAAAGAAACTGACGCCCGCCATTCACACATGCAAGTTGAGGAGTTCCAAAATTGCAAACCATTTTCTTGAGCTAATTATGTTCAATCCTTTAGAGTAAATAAATATAGAAACATTTAAAATAAAGTTTAATCAGATTATGGTAAACAGTTTGGAAAAGAAGGCAGGCATTGAGTGAATATATATACTCTAAATCTTCTGCCACCTTCTTAGTTTTTCAAGGTGTGTATTTTGTTAAAAAAATTAATGGGTGAAGGAAGTCTGAAAAAAGATTGGTCAACTGGTACAAAGTTACAGTGACATAGAAGGAATAATTTCTGGTGTTCTGTTGCACATTTGGGTGACAGTGGTTAACAGTAAGGTACACTTATTACAAAATAGCTAGAAGAGAAGCTTAAGACAAAGTCCAAACATCACACTGTGAGTGTAAAAGGCTTCCTCTTAAAATTATGCCCCACACATGATGTCCTTCCTCCTCATGAAAGTTATTATTTCCATCCTCTTCTGAAATGTCTGTTCTTGTGCTGGAAGGTTTGAGAGCAGCAACTGACTATCAAAAGGCATTATAGTGAAGAATCTTCAAAACTGACATGGGGCTAGTGAGTCCTACCAAAGTCAGTCCTAGAAACCATTGAGTAATCTTGAGTGAGATAAAAGAATTTGCCTTTCAAATGGTGGCTGTTGGTCTGTTTCAGTAAAACTAATGCTTGATCCATAAATAAGCCTAAAGGGTGTTATAAATGTCAGGAGCTGTGGGTGATTGATTTGTGTTGGGTATATCATGAAAATAGACTGAAGGCACAAGGGTTGCTTCCCTGCGGAAATCGTGGTGGTAAATTGCCATATGTGTCCCCGTGATGGACCTAGCTGATCTGATTGTGGTTATAACAACTTTACAGACTGGACTTTTGGTCTCTTGAGATCTCCAGTGTCTTTCTGTGAAGTCTAATAAATGAAATAGCACCTTGCTTTCCAGCCTCAAGCACAGAACTGGGTAGGGAATTGGAACTGTTGCCAGCAATCTTTCCCAGCTCTACACTCTAAATGCACCTTTTCCAGAGTTGTTACTGTTCAGAAGTCTGGCTAGAACTGGATTTGTGTTAACCTAAAAGGTAAGGAAGGTAGGCCAGTGTTGCAATATTGCATGTCACAAAGGTTGAGGTGACCGAACCATACTGTTAGACTAAAGGTACAAGTTTTGCTGTTCGGCAGCAGGGTAGAGTGACTATAGTTAACAACAGTGTATTGTATATTTTAAAGTAGCTAGAAAAGAGGGCCTGAATTGTTCCCAATACATAGAAATAAATACTTGAGATGATACCCTAAATTCCCTGACTCGATTATTACACATTCTACACATGTAACAAAATATCACATGTGCTCCATAAATGTCTAAAGTATTGTGTATCAGTTAAAAAAAAATTAAAGGTTGAGATGAGCAATTTAAACTAAAAGGGAAAAGTTCCAGTTCATTTTCCTCTAAAAATATTCCAGCAAATTCCCTGGGAGAAAAAACATAAAGCATGAAAAGCAGTAACTTTAACTTTTCTCTGACTATGCCAGTCAGCACCAATGGCTCTCTTTCTTGTTTTAAAATAACAATAACTTTAGGTTCAGGGATATATGTGCAGGTTTGTTATATAGGTATGCTTTTGTCACAGGAGTCTGTTGTACAGATTACTTCATCACCCAGGTACTAAGCCTAGTACCCAATAGTTATTTTTTTCTGATCCTCTCCCTCCTCCCACTCTTCACCCTCAAGTAGGTCCCAGCATCTGTTGTTCTCCTCTTTGTGTCCGTGAGTTCTCATCATTTACAATGACCCTCTTTCTTGAGGAAGTAGGAAAGCTCGTCAAGTGAACAAAGGCAAATGAATCAGTAAAGCAAACAACAGCGGTTTTTTCCAATCATTCAGTCTATCTTATATATGCCATAAGGTTTGACATCTAAACTAGACCTACACAAAATAGCTACGCAAAGATACTACCTGACTTTTCTCTGTATTATTCAGCTATTTAACAAATATTTATTCAATGTCTACTATGTGCCGTTAACCACTAAATGCCAGGTAATAATGAAGTTGACAAGACACTTGCCTGCATAGAGCAAAATACCTAGTGGAGGAGATAAACATTAAACACAAATAAATGTATAATTGTAAGATCTTTTAAACTTATAGCTTGGCAACAACAGAAGACTCTTTTTACCATTTTGTTTCTGAACTCCTTAGAATCAGAAATCTTGTAAGTCTACATAAAGGCCATAAATCCATGTAGGTTTTATTATAGCATATATCTGTAGAGGCGTATCTCATTAAAAATAAATTTAAAACCTAGTTATTGTTTATGGAAGACATTGGACATAATATTAGGAATGTTTGTTATTTAGTATATAGTATTGAATAAGTATTTGGACTCAACCAGTTCTCAAAGCTAGTTAGGCATATTTATCTTCCTGTTTCCTTCAACAAGTGTTTCTTTTAAAAGTCATCATCAATTTGTTTTTGCAGTGGTCCTTTCTATAATGGAGTTGGGTGGCGTTTTCTCTGCATTTGGTGTATTATATTTTACTAGGCTGCCAGGGACTACACCTACATCAACAACTTCACACAAAGTAGGGCCTTTTGTAAGCATGAGATGCTCACAGAGTACTTCAGATATTATCTTGCATTGGCCTTAGCCTGGTCTGTTAGTTCAGGCCCTAAAAATAAACACATATTAATCAGCTAATGGCAGCATGCGCAGACCAGCATCCAAGGACCTCAGTCTAACCTCATGCAATAGCTTGTCTTATGTCACCCAGGATGAGGCAGTTTGCAGCCAGGAATGCGTCTGAAAGAAAGACAGTCACAAGCTTAACTAAATGTTTAAAATAACCTTCTAACTCCTCTTCACATTGACAGATTGCTTTCAACTCAGCGAAATCAAACCACAGCCCCAGCCCCGGTGGCTCTGTGGGGCCATCTTAGGGCCACGGAGTTTGTAAAGTAAAACTGCAGGTTGTCAGAGCATCCCAGTGTAGCCCTCTCTTGTCTTGTTTTTAATCAAAAAACAATCAGAAGGGAACTCACTCCTGGAAGTCCTTATCTCCATAAAATTCAGCTAATGACTCCTGTTAAGTTAAATAAAGTTTCTGTGTAACTCACTAAGGAAACTGTTAGCTGTTCACCTCGTGCCCACAGACTTCTCAAAGAATACAAATCGGGGGAACCCTGTGGAGCTGGGCTGTGAGTGTTTATATACACATACTTTGTTCCAACGACTCCGGAAAGTTGAGCCTTCAGTATAGTTTTCAATTTTTTTGAATGACAGTCTTTTTTCTGTATGGAGTGGAAATGAGGTGGGGCTGCGGGGCAGGCTGGATTTGTTTTAATGTACACTTTTCTTGAATCTGTTTATCCCCAAATAAGTGAGCTGCAGTAGATACTTTGGTCCAGCACAAAGTAAATATTTAGCTCACAGATGCCATGCAGCAACATGGCCCGGAGTATTTGGGTTTCAAGAAAGAGGATCACCGTCAGGCGAAGGGCTCCTTTGTACTTGATAGAATTGGGGTTTCTACCGGTGTAGCATCCCATCGGGCCCTCCAAGCACCTTGGTCTGCTCTACTGTGCCCTTCCGGTCCTCATCGGCCGCATTCCAACCCCACCGTTAAGCTGTGTCCTGTATGGCCATGATCTTTCTTTCTCCTGAACTTTCCTGCACGGTCCTCAAAGTCCCCCTGATCTTTCTCTCCACTCGATCTGCATGTGCCTCTTCCTTGAAGGATCTCCCCCTCTTACCCACTCAGTGAACTTTGGCTTCAGGACTGAACCCAGAGATCACCTCCCCTCTGCTCAGAGCCTTTCCAGGTAAGAATTAAGTGCTTCCTTCTCTGGGCTAGCCCAGGGCCTTCTGCACAGCTCTCTTACGACCTGTTTTTCTCATGCACCCATCTTTTTACCTGCTTGTCTCTCTTACTACCGAGAGCCCCTGCAAGACAGGAGCTGGGTTCATGTTATCTTTGCCTCACCAAAACATGGCCTCCTTTTCAGGAAAGCAGTAGGTATTCCTGGCCCTATTCTGCAGTGAGGGGGAGGGGAGGTAGCATTACAAGCTGCCAAGAGCACTATACTAGAAGGAAATAGAGCCAGGTCCATGCTGACAGTCCCTCCCAGGTGATCTTAAGCAAGTCACTTGAACTCAGAGAGCCTCAATTTCTTCAGCTGTCCTATCCGAATAATGCATTTTTTGAGGATTAGATAAATTACTTTACACTTTGTGAAAGTATTTTAAGAACTGTGAAGCATTCCTCTCCTCATCACTTGAAGAATAGAACCAGAGTTCACTAAAGCTTATCCTGCCCTTTGGATCCAGCCCTGCATTTTTCTGTACTCACGCATGATCCTTCAACTGTTTCTTTACAAAGCAAAGTTTTTGTGCCTTAACTTGGTATTTATTTCCTGCAATTGTCTGATAAAATGCGGCTTCATTAATCGCAAGAAAACAAAGAGTTTGGGCAGCTTTAGAAATTGCCGCTGGCCACCGGGCTTCCTAAAACCCCATGGCGTGATCCCCACTCTGCCTTAAAGGCCAGCTTCAGTGTCCCAATGCTTTTCTGTGTTCTTTTTGCAAGTGCCGTGCCCAGCAGTAACCATCTTCTGTTCCGCTAGTTATCTGTCTCCATTATTTTCTTCCCTGAGACTCTGAGTTAAAAATGCTCTTCTATTTTCTGTTGTTGCTTTTTATTATTTTCTTACTGTAGTGGGAAAAAAAAAAAACACCATAGTATTAAATATGCCATCATAACTTTTTTTTTTTTTTTTTTTTTGAGATGGAGTCTCGCTCTGTCGCCCAGGCTGGAGTGCAGTGGCACGATCTCGGCTCACTGCAAGCTCCGCCTCCCGGGTTCACGCAATTCTCCTGCCTCAGCCTCCCAAGTAGTTGGGACTACAGACGCCCACCAGCACGCCCAGCTAATTTTTTTATATTTTTAGTAGTGATGGGGTTTCACTGTGTTAGCCAGGATGGTCTCGATCTCCTGACCTCGTGATCCGCCCACCTTGGCCTCCCAAAGTGCTGGGATTACAGGCGTGACGTCATAACTATTTTTAAGTGTACAGTCTTAAGCATGTTTACATTTTTGTGCAACAGATCTCTAGAACTTTTATCTCACAAAACAAACTCCATACTCATTAAACACTAATTTCTCCTTTCTCCTACCCTTGGCAACTACCTTTCCACTTCCTGTTTTTATGATTTTGACCCCTTTAGATACTTTATTTGAGTGAAAGCATACAGTATTTGTCCATTTATGACTGGCTTATTTCATTTAGCATAATTTATATCCTTGGGGTTCAATCATGTTGTAGCAGTGACAGGATTTTCCTCTTTTTTAAGACTGTGTAATATTCCATTGTACATGTGCATTATATTTTCTTTATCCATTCATATATCTATCAATGGACATTTGCATTGCTTTGTTCTTTCTCTTTTTAAAAAGCAAATATTAAAACAAAGATGAACTATTAAACTTGGCAAGATTTCAAAATGCTCCTAGTCTAAAATCAGCATATCAAAAAGCTATCTGCACCCCTATGCAGCACTATTCACAAAAACAAAGATATAGAATCAACCTAAGTGTCCATCAATGAATAAAGAAAACGTGTATACATACACAATGGAATACTATTTGGCCATAAAAAAGAATAAAGCCATGTCACTTGCAACAACATGGATGAAACTGGAGGTTACTATATTAAGTGAAATAAGCCAGGCACAGAATAACAAATATCACGTTTTTGTTCTTATATCGGGGCTTCAAAAGTTGATCTCATGGAGGTAAAGAGTAGAGTGATAGCTACCCAAGGCCGGGAAGAGTGTGAGTTTAAGAGGGTAGGTAGATGAAAAGAGGTTGGTTAATGTGTACAAACATACAGTGAGCAGGAATAAGTTCTAACGTTCAATAGCAGAGTAGGGTGGCTGTCGTTAACAAAAGTGTACTATGTATTTCAAAACAGCTAGAAAACTAAAGTGTTCCTAACACATCAAAATGATAATTATTTGAGGTAATGAATACCCTAAATTATCTGGATCATTATACATTCTATGCATGTAACAAATATCACATGTACCCTGTAAATATGCAAAATATTTATATACCAATAAATAATAATAAATTTTTAAGTTTTTGGTTTAATATGAAATGTATTCAGGATGGTACAGTGAAACTTCATTGCCCTGAAATTGGTGTATGCAGCCCTTCTTTGTTTTATGAATTAGACTTAAATGTTCAAGCAGGCACAACAGTGTCATGTAGAAACTTATATTTAAATAACATTTAAATCACTGACATCTCCAGGATTTTCTGTCTAGTCTCTTTTAAAGTAGAGTTTCTCCTGGTCTCATGAAGCTGATCAGCTCTTGCTTTTATTGATTTTTATTATTATTTATTATTTTTATTTATACAGTCTCACTCTGTTGCCCAGGCTGGAATGCAGTGGGGCAGTCATAGCTCACTGCAACCTCGAACTCCTGGGCCCAGCCCAAGCAATCTTCCCATCTCAGCCTCCCAAAATGCTGGTATTGTAGGAATGAACCTCTGCACCTGAACTAGCTCTTATTTTTAAAGGCAGAAATGACCATGTGAAATGTTTTTTACCTGCTTTGTAGCTCAGAGAAACATCTTATCTAGTGATAAATTTAGGAAATTTTCTGACTTGGTTTACTCACACTTCCTACGCCTCAGTTCTGCATTTCAGATTTTTATCCTGGGTAAAGTATGACCTAGTACTGCCTTTGGTTAGTACTTTACAGATGCAGTTTTCTTTTTCCTACGGAGTTCATTTCCAGATCTCTGGACAGAGATCTTGTCTACTCTTGGAAAGATTTGTGATGGGGATTTAGCGGAGAAGAGTTCAGAAAATTTCTTTATTAGATTCTACTATTGGGTGGGGTTTTTGGAATCAGGCAACAATGAACATATACAGATTAAATTGTTATGAAGTTTATTTATTCTCAAATCCACCTTGAACTTCAGGGCACAAATGCTATTCATTTACTTTATAGGTAGAGAAATCTTGGGGCTATGCCAGGAAAATAAATCTGGAGTAGGCAGTCATGGATTAGCTGAAGGGGGATTACATTTACTAGAATGCCTTACTCTCCTTGTGTTTAAGAGGGAACCAAATAGAAAAAAATTACTCACAAAGCCTAGAACTGCAGAATGATTCACAAAACCTAAAGAATGACAGGTAAGAGATGTTCCACCACACAGACCCTCAGCACAACCTGAATCGAGTGCAGGATGGCCTCCCAGCCCTGTCTAGCAGTGGCATCCACTCCCCTACTAGGCATCTGTCTGCTCATGCAGTCAAGCGTCTTCTGTTCACCTCGCTGCCCTGTCGGAAACCACCCTCTGGAGCTGGACCAGTGTGCCTTTTCACTCCCTAAACAGCTTCCCTCTTCATTTGGAAATGTCTCTGGCTCAGAACTTCATCTTGCAAATCCAGCATTAATGAAGCTATGCCGTTACAATATAGTCAGGTGCCATGTTTACACACTTAAATTTTCTAACTATAAAGTTGACCTTTGAAGTTCACATATTTGTATTTTCCTTTCTGTTTTGCTATTTTATTGTACATGACTCTTTGAAGAAAAGGCAGAGTATAAATACATGAAAAGTCACACAACCAACATATAGAAACCATAAGATTCTAATTTTCTTAAAGGAGCACTATTGAAAATGATGCAAAGATCATTTTGTAGAGTTTACATGTTACGGAGAAGTAGGGCTGTGAAGAACACAGATGCATGCTGAACCTGGGAATGACATAGGCATTGTAGGATGGCATTTGTGGTTCAGTGAGTGCAAATCCATGTGTCATACACAAATACAGTTCACTTTAATAGTTTGCTATCTCTTCACTCATCTTAAACACCTTAAGGTATTTGGAAAGGGAGGAAGAAATAAAACAGATGAACCTGCTGAGATATGGCCGGGAACAGTAGTACTTCATTTTGATTGATGTTTTTACAACCTTATCTTCTAGATAAAAGCTACTGTAAACAAAAGCCTACCTAAATTGATTGTATTTAAAGGAAGCAAGAGCCACCTGTGTGCAGCAATTGGCTCCCAAGTGCATAGTTTTTCCTCCTAGCAGCCAATTCCTGCTGCTCAGGGCCTCACAGCTACCACTTTAGTGTTACTTCCAGGGACTAGTACTCTTGGTTTCTACCACACTTTAAACCACAGCATCATCTTCCCGTTAATATCCTAGACAGAACAGATTCCTACTATCAATCCCAGCAATCTTGCAATTCGCTCTTCGGAAGTGTACAACTTGGACATATTTTTAAGGCTCATTGTCTTACCTTTAAAAATGACTTTCTGTGGCCAGGCATGGTGACTCACACCTGTAATCCCAGCACTTTGGGAGGCAAAGGTGGGCGGATCACCTGAGGTCAGGAGTTCAAGACCAGCCTTGCTAACACGGTGAAACCCTGTCTCTACTAAAAATACAAAAATTAGCTGGGCATGGTGACGCACACCTGTAGTCCCAGCTACTCAGGAGGCTGAGGCAGAAGAATCATCTGAATCTGGGAAGCAGAGGTTGCAGTGAGCCAAGATCACACCATTGCACTCCAGCCTGAGCGACAGAGCAAGACTCCATCTCAAAAAAAAAAAAAAACCACTTTCCTTCATTGTGTAGTAGAGAGTTATTAGCAAAAAAAAAAAAATTATTATTTATTTTCCAAATGAGTAATAGCACTCACAGCTGCTTCTTCTAGGGCAAGGGACTATAGAGTGATATTCATTTGTGCATTCATATATCCACTCAACAGATGTATTGGCTGACTCCTATGTGCCACTAAAATACAAGCTGCCCTCATGAAGCTTACATTTTGAAGTGTTTGATAATTGCAAGGCCAGGTTATCCATAATTTTTGAAGACCCATTTTGAAAATCATTTTTCCTTACCTGATCATTTTTCCTAATGATCTAGACATTTCTAACTTCTAATTTATTTTCCCCCTTTCCAGCATTTGCCTTCATGAATCTGCAAAATTGGGATGTTTTGCTTTTGGGGACTAGATTGGCTAGCCAAAGAGATTTTCTTTATCATTAAATACTTCTTGTGAATAGGAGAAAAGTTTAACTGCCCATTTAGAGTGAGTTGGGATCTGACATATCATTTGGTTAATGATAGATTTATAGGGCAAACATGTATCAGCCTTAATCCTTCAGTTATTTGACTTTGCCAAGGATGAAATTCCAGTAATTTTTTATTTTAAGCAGGCTTTTATATATCCAGAACCCATAAATCTCTTTGTTCCTTGAGATAAACATCTGACCAAACTCTGGGTTACCTACCCTGTGATCCTTTAAGAACTATGCCAAGGAAAAAGAAACCCCATTCCCTCTATTAGCGAATAATTAAAGGCTACTTGAAAAAGACATAGTTCGGGTAAGCAATATTTATATAGTCTTTTCCATTTTATAATGTGTTTCTCATTTCTAATATTCAGAAAGTTAGGAATGGGAAGTTCAGAAATCACCTCAAAATTCATCAGAGCAAGTCTGATGGCTGATTAACTGGCAAACACCAAAATGGACTGCACCACTGTCAGCCAGGCCTTGCCAACTCCATGATCACTATCCATTATGGCTGTCATATCAATTATAAATTCTCTGGCATCAAGCACTAAATCAGCTGAAATGATGGGTTTGTCTTTGGCGTGTTTCCCTGGGGAAATAAC